GACCGATCAATTTCTTCTCTTCAGGGTTTAGTTAGGGTACCAGTATGTGCAATTTGTATATCTCGGAATTTTGATATCGGTGACCTAAGGTCAGGTCAATTTCGCGACCTCCCCATTATAAGTCAATGGGGGAAAAATCAACTCCCTGTTTTTACCACTAAAACGGGTCGCAATGGCCCCATATACCATACTTGACTTCATATACGATCAACCTTCACTACCTTGAGGTCTGTTTTGCTGTTGGGCAGCTGTGAGGTCATGTGACGTCATCAAAGGTCACCAAAGGTTTTTGGCCAATAACTCCGTACAGGAACAAGATACAGACGCGTGGATGGTCTCATTGTGTTCAGCTCGTCAAGACGCATCGAATGATATACATGATGACCTCGAGGTCACGTGACCTGAGGTCAACCTTTGACCTTGACCTTTCGAGGTCAACATATATATCATTCGATGCGGATTGACGAGAGGATCACGATGATGCCCTTAGTTTGTTCCTATCTTGACTAATTCGAAAGTTATTCGAGAAAAACTCTCTCCATATCTAGTGCCGCCATTTTGACTTTTTCGACCCCTGTGACGTCATCTTTGACCTGACCTGAAAATGACCTTAGTAAAAATTGTAGATCTTGGCCGTGCGTATCCGATGCCGTTTACCGCTTGTCGCTATCTTGCTTCGTTCTCGAGATCTCAGGGGGGGGCCGAATCGGCCCCCCCCCCCCCCGCCAGTTTCTTGTCCCGGCAGAGCCCGCCAGGAATAGCCCGCCTTAATTCTACCATCATATGCAGAGTGCAGACGTAATTTTGTAAAGGGTGATCATTACTTCCAATGTAAAATGTTAAAAAATTGTGGCATTCACTTTGGTAAATTTCTATTAGGTATGTGCTTCGAATAGGTTTCGTGCTAGTTTTTATATTATAGGGGAGAGCGGGGCCAGTTGAAACACGGGGTCAGATGAAACATGGCTTTATTTTCAACAGTATGCAACATATGGCGTTGCCGGCACCACTGCGCATCCGCGCTCGACCACTTCCTTTGTCAACGGCGTTTGGGCGGCAAACGGACGGTAATTTTGATTTGACACTTGTTTTTGTGTTTTTGAGGGGCGTTTGGGAGAAATCGTTCTTATGAATATTTTTTTATATCTCATATACCTACCTTTGTTTGCTGAAAGAAGAAGTCCTGGCTCCGGAATAACACCTTATTTGGCCCTTCATTCAGCATGATGCCGTCCCTCCAGCTCGTTTGACATGTGCTTTACGGCGCGTGCGAGATGGCGGGAGCGGATGGGGTCAATTGAAACGCTTCTCTGAGGGTCAGTTGAAACAGGGCCACAGGCCGTTTCAATGGACCCCGGTGACCTTTGCAATGGTTATTGTTCAGGGGCTGTAAACATTAAAGGAAATAGTCCACCTTTGAAATGAACTTTTAAACTGAAATAGTAGTTTAATAGAGCTCAATTTTTGACCCCTTTTTCTCCAGCATTTTGCTTGAAAGCACACTACAGCCTGAGATATTTCTCGTTTTTCTCATCCGCTCATTTTACCATAGTCTATGTACTTAATGTCACCTATTACACTGTAAACCAAATTGACAAGTCTTGTGTAATATAACCAATCATCTCTTGGTATGTTTACCAACTGATACTTTTCAAACAAGCCGTTGTCTGGTGCATTGCTTGTCAGATGACAACTACGAGTCAATAGTTACTATGCACACCAACTTCTCAGTATCCAGACCAACTCTACATTTGTTTCAACGTTTGTTTCTTAACCAGTTTTGGAAACTTGTTGCCGCATGGTTATTTAACCGGCGCTTAACTTGTACTGGTCAGCTGGTCAGCATACACATGGTCAGCTGCGCCCGTGACGTCAGACTTGGCGGACCAATCAGCGGTCGCCGTCCGGCTTCGGCGCGGCGGTTTCAAACCGTTCAAACCAGCAGTTGTCGCGCGGCCGCCGTGCAGCATGGATCAGCGACGAGGGCTGTTCCAGCATTTGTGCAGTAAAAAGTGAAATCTGTGAACTGTGGTGTTCGTGCTGTGAGTGAGGCCCGCTCTGGCCTGCGGGACGCACTAATCGTGCCTATACCCGCGGTCGAGACGCCTCCCTTCCCCTGCGCGCGCAATGTAAGTGGGCCAGACCTTTGCATGCACATGTGAGCAGATGTTTTGCGGTCGGTGTTTTTTATATATAAATACATTTATTTGCCTTTAATTCAACTCTTTGTATTTTTAACTTAACTGATGGACATATATGGGCTGTAAAAGCTAATCTGGTTGGCGATCATGCTTTATTCGAATTATCTGCGTGATCGTGCAACTGCCATGATTGTTATGGTCAATGTGGAAATATTCGTCATACGGGCATGTTATACTTCTGGCTTGATGCGATGCACAAAACCATGTTCTTCCACATACGCAGCAGTTCTTGCTTCAAAGACTTATATGCTGACGGTGCACGATAGGTATACCTTATACCTCATGCATTTACCACATCCATTCGAAAATATGCACTTGGAATTGTCTCCAGTCAATAGTATTAATTACATACTACGTGATGTAGGTACGTGACCGTAATAAATACTAATGATTCCAGAAACTTCCGAATGGATGTGGTGTATGCATTCATCGATTATATAACCCATCAGTATTTCGTTTCTTGTCAGCGCAAGCCTTTGAGCAATAACTGATGCCAGTCATGATTTTGTGCACCACTTCCAGCCACAAAATGACCTGTCCGTATAGAAAATATTTCCTGAATCAGTATCGTGGCAATTGAAAACGAACGCGAATCGTAAGTAAGTTCTTAAGGTTATCAACGCAAACAAAGCGATTGTAAGGAAGAACAAGTTCGAACTGAGCGTTAGTACACTTACTTGTTGACAATTTGTTAACTAGCAATGCCCAGTCAAAGGCTAGTTCATCAACAAACCAGGGGTTGTTGAACCGACAAGGAAACGGCTATGCCTATCCAGAAGTTGGTAGGTTCACAAGGCCCAGACTAGTACTCAACAAGGTGACGCCTATGCGAATTGGAACCAAACTTGTAGACAAACTGTTAGTTTGTTGGCCAACACGCCTGGGGTTGGTGAATCGACAAGGTGACGCCTATGCGAATTGGAACCAAACTTGTAGACAAACTGTTAGTTTGTTGGCCAACAAGCCTGGGGCTGGTGAATCGACAAGGTGACGCCTATGCGAATTGGAACCAAACTTGTAACAAGGAGCCAACTTGTAGATTTGGTTTACAGTGTATGAGGAACTTTGCACTTTTAGCTTTCCAACGACCTATTGAATGTAGCATTTGGAAAAGTAAACCGGACAAAATATCTCCTTAAGAAAGTGGCCTTAAAGCGGAAAACATCCCATTGTTAAGGATAGGTGCAATTGACCCCATGGGCTGGTTCAATTGACCCTCGCATCGGGGTCATTTGAAACGGGCGTAGAGCTGTTTTATAAGCAAGCGTTTGGCAGCAAAATACGTTTGAAACATAATTGTACATATCTTAAAATAAAGCCAAAAGAGCATATTTTTTCATGGCATTGTGCATTTTTCGATATGACAACTAGATCTCGCTGTGCATGTCAATATATAAAAAGTGGCTCAACTGGCCCCGCTCTCCCCTAATCAATTAGGGGAAGTTGGGGGAACGCCGAATACTTTTTTTCTGACGCCCGTAGCACGCAAGGTAGACAACATAAGCTATTCTTGCTGGCGTCATTCGAGAGGCCAGTCTTTTGCCTTTCAAACATACCAGGCGCATTTGATGAATTCGCATACCGTTAAGCGCACGTTAAGCGCACAAGAGATTACACTGGCGACGAGGTGAACTTCAGGCCCGGCTGATGGTGGAGTGAATAGCTGAAGATGTCGAACGAAGACGGCACTGCAGCAGCGGGGCACCTGCAACTGGAGCCGTTTGAGCCAGCTTCAGGTTCGTGGACGGAGTGGGAGGAGCGTCTGCAGTTCTTCTTGGAGAGTAACGGCATCACATCGGACAGCAGGAAAAGAGCGACATTTCTCACGGTATGTGGCAAACAGACCTACTCACTTGTACGCAGTCTTGTGTCGCCTAGCAAGCCCGGTGAAGTCAGTTTCAAGGATTTGCTTGAAAAGATTAAGGAGCATCAGGATCCCAAACCGTCCGTACTGGTCAGTCGTTTCAAGTTCGGAACATGTAATCGCCGTCCGGGTCAGGCTGTTGCTGACTATGTTGCTGCTCTCAGGAAAGCGTCTGAACATTGCTGCTTTGAGGACACTCTGGAGGACAGGTTGTTGGAGCAGCTGGTGATTGGAGTCGGAGACGAGAGGATGCAGCGGCGTCTTCTCTCGGAGAAGAGCCTGGACTTCAGCAACGCCGTGAGAATCTGCCTGGCTCTGGAGACGTCGACCAAGGACGCCCACCTCATGTCTCATAACGGTGAGAGGGCCGAGCCTGTACAGGCAGTGAGTGCAGGTTCTCGTAGGGAGCAGCAGGCCCATCCGCAGTGTTGGCGGTGTACTGGAGACAATCACAGCGCTGATGTTTGTCGCTTCCGTAACTCCAAATGCTACAACTGTCACGGACTTGGACACGTGTCCAAGGCCTGTCCAAAGCCCCGCCGCACAGGAGCAGGTCGAGGCAGGCCCCCAGCCGGCCGCGGCAGGGGTCGTCGGCAGGTGACGAACGCCGTCAGCGCTTCAGACACCGAGGACTGGGACAATTGGCCCGATGAAGACGCCGGGAACGTCCAGCAGGTGGCGGCTACCAGCAGCGACAGCCCACAATCTGCAAGCGTCCTCCAGGTGAGTTCTCCGCCACTTCGCTGTTCTGTTTACTTTCAGCGAACGCAAGTAGACATGGAGATAGACACCGGCTCGGGTAACACTCTGATAGGAGAGGACACATACAAATCTCTACGGATACGTCCCAGGTTGAAACCCAGCGCTCTCAGGTTGAGAACGTACACAGGAGATGTGATTTCAGTCCTGGGGGAATTCAGAACTGTAGTAACTTACAAGGGCCAGAAGCATGCTAACCTCAAGGTTGTTGTGGTACAAGGAAATAGGACCAGCCTATTGGGACGGGACTGGTTGAAAGCTGTCAAGTTAGACTGGAAGGAAGTGTGTGCTGTTGAGAATGTGTCAGTAGCGGCGTTGAGAAGGAAGTATGCGGAAGTGTTTGAACCAGGTCTGGGGGAGTTGAAGGATGTGAAGCTCCGCCTGAACATTGACCGAAGTGTGCAGCCCAAGTTTTTCAGAGCTCGTTCCATGCCATACGCCTACAAGGAAAAGGTGGAGAAGCAGCTGCAAAAGGACGTAGAGTCTGGTGTACTTGAACAGGTAACGCACAGCAGGTGGGCCGCTCCGCTAGTTCCTGTCTTGAAAAAGGATGGCACTGTCAGAGTATGTGCTAACTTAAAGCTGACTGCAAATAAGGCTGTGAAGTGTGACACATATCCGCTTCCGCGCGCGCAGGATATTTTCGCGCAGCTTGCTGGGGGACGAGTCTTCACTACGCTGGATCTAGCACAGGCGTATAACCAGGTCATTGTGCATGAAGACTCGCGCGATGTACTGACGGTGAACACGCCGAAGGGGTTGATGCGTTACTCTCGTCTGCCTTTTGGGCTCAATTCGGCGGTCAGTCTGTTCCAGAGGGAGATTGAGCGGGTGCTTCGTGACTTACCTGGTGTGGTGGCTTACCTGGACGACATCCTGATCTCCAGCAGAACGACGGAGGAGCATCTGAAGACGCTGGACGACGTCCTCGGAAGACTGAAGAGAGCCGGGTTGAAGGTGAGACCAGCCAAGTGTAGATTCTTGGTGCCCAGTGTCGAGTACTTGGGTCACATCGTTGACAAGGACGGCATCAGGCCGACACCAGCCAAGGTGCGAGCCATACAGTCAGCGCCAGAACCGAAGAACGTTAAGCAGCTGAAGTCGTTCCTGGGAATTCTGACGTATTATTCCAGATATATTCCAGACCGCAGTCAGAAGCTGGCGCCACTTCATCTCCTCCTGCAGAAGGACGTGGCATGGCGCTGGGGTGCAGAGCAGGCTGCCAGCTTCCAGTGGGCTCGTGACGTCCTCTCGTCTGGCTCCGTGTTGGGTCACTTCGACATCAACAAACGGCAAGTCCTAGTGTGTGATGCCTCCTCTGTGGGAATCGGTGCCGTTTTGGCTCAGAGGGAAGCTGATGGGACTGAGAAGCCAGTGGGATTCGTTTCTAGAAGTCTGTCCCCATGTGAACGCAAATATTCTCAGATAGAGAGGGAAGCACTGGCAATCGTTTTCGGGGTTACCAAGTTTCACGCGTACCTGGCCGGTAACATGTTCTCGCTGGTCACCGACCATAAACCTCTGGTGATGCTGTTCGGTGAACATGCTGACCTACCTGAGATGGCGTCTTCCAGAATCCGGAGGTGGGCGTTGAAGCTCTCGACGTACCGATACGAGATTCAGTACCGGCGGACTGAAGAGATGGGCAATGCTGATGCCCTCAGCCGCTGTCCTCTGCCTGACTCGAACTCTTCGCAGGAGGAGGATCTGGTGCTCCTGGTCGATGATCAACAGCTGTTTGACGCCAGGAAGGTAGCCCTCCTGACGTCACGTGACCCGGTGCTGTCTCGGGTAATGCGTCTTGTCCAGAGGGGTGGCTGGCCGCAGGTTACAAATGCAGACCTGTCACCTTTTGCCTCGAAGCGTCTGGAGTTGTCTGTTTGTCGTGGAGTGCTGATGTGGGGTCACCGTGTCGTCGTTCCCAGCAGGGCACGTGAAGCAGTCTTGAAGGAGCTGCATGTGGCGCACCCTGGCATCCGCCGCATGAAGGCTCTGGCGAGAGGCTGTGTCTGGTGGCCTCAACTGGACCAGCATATTGAGCACATCGTGAACTCCTGTCAAGCCTGCCAGGAAAGCCGACCTGCACCGGGACGTTCTCCAATCTGCATGTGGCCGTGGCCTGAGCGGGCATGGTCGAGGATCCACGTGGACTTCGCTGAGCCGAAGAAGGGAAGGTACGTCCTGATCGTGGTGGATGCTTATTCCAAGTGGGTGGAGGCAGAGTGTTGTACCAGTGTCTCCTCCCAGACGACTATAGCCAAACTGAGACAGATGTTTTCAAGGTGGGGGCTACCGGACGTAATCGTAACTGATAACGCTACATCGTTCACGTCATCAGATTTTGAGGAGTTCGTGCGCCAGAACGGCATTCATCATAAGACCATAGAACCTCGCCATAGTCAGGGCAATGGACTAGCTGAACGTGCTGTACAAGATGTCAAACTAGCGTTGCAGAGGTCGAACAGTGACTGGGAGACTACGCTATCACGATGGTTGCTTTGCCAGCGTATCACCCCGCACAGCACAACTTCCGTAGCCCCCTCAGAGCTGATGGTGGGGCGTGTCCTCCGAAGTCGCCTGGACCTTCTGCACCCGGACCTGCGAACTGAGGTGAAGAAACAACAGGTGATCCAAAAGGAAAACCACGATGCTAAGGTGAGCACTGGCAGGAGACTGGATGTGGCTGACCTGGTGTTTGCAAGGAACTATGGTGTTGGCTCGAAGTGGGTTGCTGGTGTTGTCGTCGGAGTGGATGGACCTGTGTCTTACGCTGTGGAGACTGAAGATGGTAGGCTTTGGAGACGACATATCGATCAGCTTCGGCATAGGTCTGACGGCGAACTGTTTGCAGGACGTTCTGCGCTGACTTCGGAGCCCGGTGACATTCCTGCGGAAGGAGGGCAGCCATCTCGGAATCCGACGGCGGCGCTGCAGCCGTCTCGTCCGGGGGAGTCTGGCTTGGACGCGTCGCTGCCGCCGTTCAGCACACCTGGAGCGGCGCCTAGCGCTCCAGCAGCATCGCCATCATCTTCGGCGCCTGCTCCGTCGGAGCCCCGGCCTGAGGCATCAGAGCTCGAGCCCGCGTGTGTCGCCGGCGACGCTGGTGCACGGACGGAAACCCCACTGCGTTCGGGGCTCGGAGTGGAGGCTGGTGCAGGTGTACAGTCTCGTGTGTTGGACGAGGGTGGTGGTGTTCGTCGCGGAACTAGAGTGAGAAAGCAGACTAAGTTTTTTGGTTCCTAGCTCTGTTCATATTACTTGTGTTTTGTGAGGGGGCAGTGTAGTGAACTATGGTTCACGCCTCCCCCCACCTGTGGCCTGAGTGCGCCGCTGCGCCTCCCTTATCGGCCGTCCCTGTATCCGTCCCTGCGCGGTGTCCGTCCCTGCGTGTCGCGGCGCATGTGCCTCGGGCGGTTTTGTGTGGCCTGGCGCGGCGGCCGGTCGGCCGGCCGCGCGGCAGTCTGCAGCTGGACCCAATACAGCAAGGAGCTCGGCACGGACTTTACACGCACAAACTAAAAATATCAAAGAAGTGACTTTTTCGGCGTTGCCCCGGACTGCGGGGAAAGCCGAAAATGGGAGAAATGATCTTCGGGGAATGCCGACATTGATGTTTTGCCACTTTAGCTCAAACTTTATCCAGAATTTAACAAAGCTGACACGCGTTTTAAGAGCTTGAGGACGCGGTGCACAGTGGAAGTTATAATTGTGTGATATAATAAGAAAATGCCAGGTAAATAATTCCTTATAGGTAACAGGCCGTTGTGTCGGTTGAAACTTGAAAGTGTAATTTGTGTGACTAAAAATTCGCGTTGCTATTCTACAGCAGTAAAGTCCACGTAGCGTGCTTTAACGTGCGTAATTGCACGTATTCGGCATTACCCCAGCCAGCCATACTTTCATTTGCAGGCCCATAACTTTTCAACGTGCCGTATAAATTTCAAATAGGCAGCACACTTATGCAAAGACATGCTGAAGATTACTTGACCGAATTGGCCAGACAAACGGTAGCATAATGAGTAAGAAATGCAGCTTCAAAGGCGCATGCAGTACAAGGAACGCGTACCTTGAAAACGCTCTTGGTGCCCTCACAGCCGAAGTATTCCGAATGACGACTCGTAACAAACATGCGATAATTGTAGTCACTTAAGCTTCAGAGCATCACTGACAGGTGGCATCCATGTCTTACGGTTTTCGAAATATCTCGAATTTCGGCTTTGCCCCAACTCCGGCATTGCCCCAACTTCCCCTATAGCAAGATTAAAAAAAAGATTACGTCGGTACTGCGTAAAAGGCAACCTAGCCATCTACCGGGTTTCCATGAATCCGCTTAAGATAGTATGATCGACCAATCTTCGATAAATTCCTAGCATCCCTGTGGCGACTCGGGCCAACTCCGCCCGGTCTCGTATTTATAGTTTAAAGAGCGACAGACATAATTGACGGTATCATTCACTGGCACGCCCCGTTTATTGCTTTAGTGGTCATTGATAGCCGAACTACCAATTTACAGTCCTCCCGTAGGCGGTGCCGGTCTATTCTATAAGGCGGTCCCCGTGAACCTGTGTTGCGTGATGTTCAGCCCGGGCCCATCGACCTGTCTGCGGCGGCCGTCTGCCGTCCCGTCCGGCTGGCCCCGCGGCAGGTGGACGTGACGTGTCGCTGGGACCGGCGGCGTTTAATTGAATCAGCCATCAGCGGCGCGGATAACAGGCGGCGCCGTGTCGCCCCGTGTTGCGCCGCGGTGGCCCATCGCTCAGTCACAAAGCCGCCGCCGGCCAAAACAGTTAGCCGCCCAGTCATATGCAAATGAGCCGGCGGCGGCCGGTGGGAACTGACACGTGGCCGTCGGTGCCGCCGGCCGCGGTGGTGGCGGCGGCCACGGCACGCTGGGTAAACTCTGCTCGCCGCTCCCCCTTCCGCTGTGGGTTTCGCTGAGCTCCGAACAATCACTGCTCAATGCTGACACCCGTTGGTTACACACACGCTATGAGCGCTCACAGCACAGACAGCGGGCCGACTTGAAAAATATGTATTAGTCGCTGAGATAGGACGGGACGACGGTAGGTGACGGCGGTGATTGGGGCCGCTCGGGACGGAGACAGAGCAGCGCAGAGCTGGCCGGGAGCCCCCCGGGCCCGGCCGTGTCCACTTCCAGTCCGTTCACAGGGCGGCCGCTCAGTCGGCCCGACCACACCACAGCACACCCGCGCCCGGCCCAGTCCGGTCACACGGGGCTCGGACAGCCGAGCCGCACAGACCCGCGGCGGCGGCACGCCACTCAACAGCCAACACGGCGCCCTCAGCAGCGCGCACCCGACTTTAACATGGAAATAATGGAATGATTGCCCAGGAGAGGGGGAGAGGGGAGGGGACGGTGGACACCGGTGGTTGACAGACATTTTGAGGGGGAACACATCAGCGCTCTGGTGAAAGTCCTACGGAGCGGCGACACCCAGCGGCCGGTGGTTGGTGGTCGGTGGTCGGCTCTGAAACACACAGAAAACAACGTCCCGTCACTCGGCACAATTCACTCTGGACAGCACCGCGCACTGTGGCAATCGAACTGTACGCTGAACAGGTTCATTCAGACACGCTCGGTTCTTGTTCTAGGCCAGGGAGGCCGAGAGCAAGAGCTGAGGCCTGAATAATGGATCGGTCGCTGCCGGTCAGCGCGGAGTTAAACCGTGATCGGGAGCGCCGTGCAGCTGCTGTCTGTGAGCCCTGTCCGCCCGTCCCGTCCTCCTTTGTCAGTGGTGGCCGCTCTCCGACCGAGCCCTGCAGAGCGCCGATTTCACCAGCAGCTGCTCCCACTCATCCCGTCTCTCTGCTGTCGGCCGGGGAACAAGTGCACGGCGGCGGCGGCGGCGGGGGCGGCGGCGGCAGCTGGTCGGCTCCCAGTCGCCCCGCGCGCCGCTCCTTCACGGCCATTACGGCCAGCCGGGAGGGGACCGGCCCAGGGACCGGGCCGCAGCAGGTGAACCCGGTCACACAGCCAGACGGACGGGCGCCCAATGCGCCCCCGTCCCTCTGCAGAGAGCAGGGCTTCGGACCCCGTACTGGAAACGCCCGATATCATACGATGGTCCCCCGTCCAATAACAACCGATATTTATTGTAGGACAAAGGACTAGGGAAGTTGGACTTTTAAACTGGTAAGGGATTAGTGCCAAGCCAGCCGACGGAAGGCTAATCAGAGTGGCCGACGAGGACACTATGTATGTAGATCATGAGCTAGGACATTAGCAGGCTCAAACAATAATCGCTGATCGGGACAGTAACGCACGCAGACACCAGGACATAAATCAGTCATTTGTCCGACCTCACGCCAGATTGCAATTGGCATTTCTTAGTCATCGGTCAGCATTGCAACCGGAATCTACCAGCGCACCAGCGCACGACCGGTTACGGCGACCAAGCGCCTTTCCAGCCCGACCCAAACGGAAGTTGCGCGACATTCTCAACGCTGAGCACAGAGCAGTATTTCAAATAACGTACGTTTACGACCTGCGTGACAGACGGAAACCTTGACTTTTCGTTTTATGGGAACTGCATGACGTGACTGTATGTCATTAAGTATATCTTTCACAGTATGTATGCACACTACACTTAATGTAAGCGTGTCAGTATCAAATAAATTATCAATTAATTATAATTGATTATAAATGATAATTGTCAATAGAATTGCGATAGCTAACTATCAAACGTTAATTTTGCCGCATTTTATTGATTTCTCTTGCTTTATATAGTAGGCTTGTTTAATGGTGCCCGTGTACTTACTGGTCAACAAATCGTCGTAGCATGATAATATTATGGACAGAGGATTATACGGCCTTATACGGCCCATATTTTGGGCCGTATTGCCATACAATATCATGTGCAGATTGCTTACGACACCGACAAGACGTTCGATCATGTCCCAATCGCCGCTCGTATGTCATGTGTCGCAAAAACGCCACGCAGCGGGAGCTCGATCTGCTTTTTACTCAAATGTCAGTCGAAAGGTCCCCGCGCAAAAACAGCGCTCCGGCAGCGGCCAGACATCCCCGGTAATGGAATGTGTAAGCAGGCCGTCACTCCGCGTCCCCGCCCGGGGCGGTATGGACCGCGGTTTGTTTGAGCCAGGCCGCTGCCGGGCTACGGCGACTGCCCGCGGCGGCCGGCCGGGCAGGTCCGCGGCGGCGCCCGCCGGGCAGCCCGCGGCGGCGCCCGCCGAGCAGAGCCGGGAGTCTGCCGGCGCCGCGGGGGCAGGTGTAATCAGAACATATGAGACCGGCGCGGCGGTCTGTCGTCACTCGGACACACCGCGCGCGGTGGGCGGGAGCACCGCGGTAGGACACGGATTACGAGAGGAGGCCTCGACTGGACGACCCGACGCTATGCCAGACATTACAGCTCCACGAAGGTCTACGCTGACAGCATCAATAACTGATACGAAGTGGGTGGACTTTGTTACGCTGGTAATTGGTCCAGTTCTGCGATTTAGGACCGGTCGGTCACGCCAGCGACATTCCACCAAACGCCAATACCGCCTAATACTGGATCGTTTTGTCACGGCATGCGACTCGTTCGCCGTAGCTGCCCAGCCGATACGGGGAAGGCTGGCGCGGCGCCGCTCCATGGAGGAGCCTGTTCCACCCGGGGGGCTCGCTCATTATTAGATCGGCATGCCTCAGCAGCCGACACGGCAGGAGTGGCACCACATGAAAACTCCGCCGCGGGAGTTGCCAACACACCAATAACAAGACGGGATATTGAATTTTCGTCCATTCTTATCTTCTACGGGTCGACAAGTTGTTTGCGCATTTTTGTGTTATTAGGTTATCGGCGGAGCCAGCAAATAACTGAATGACAATTCTTTTATTGACGTTTCGGCTCCAAGCAACCTTTGTCAGAATTACAAGTTAAGATGTAAACGATACGTATGTTTACATTTTAACTTGTTATTCTGACGAAGGTTGCTTGGAACCGAAACGTCAATAAAAGAATTTTCATTCAGTTATTTGCTGGCTCCACCGATAACCTAATAACACAAATATATCCTTACATAATCAGCATCTGTTTGTGCATTATTGCATTCTAGCGACCCCACTGGAAACTGCGGAGAGCCTAATGTATCTGCAACTTACGTTACATCTACTAGGTCTTAACTCTTCCCTACCGGCCAAAAACCACGCCGTTGAGGAGTTCACGGATCGACCGCAGCAGCACACCAAATGCATAGTTTCATTGTCGCGTCTGCCATCCGTCATCATCGTGTCTAATTAGCCAGAGTGATTGAGCGGACCAACAGACAACAGTCAACCAGCGACATGAAACTCTGAATTACCTGAAATTGCCCGCTAATTTTAAAACTTTCGTTATTCCTGAGCTATTGTGAAAAAAGATCACAGGTTGTTTTTGGAATTGGGTATCCCCAGCCGGTGTTTCCCGTACGTTGGGAAGTGGGGAGGACTGGAGTGGAGACAGGCGTTCCGCTGCCGACCAGTGACAGTCCGCTCTTTTTCTGACTACTACCACTGACGAGGTACAGTATGTCTAAAAAGAATGTACCGTCGCCAAAACTTTGCCCCTCGTAGTTTTATTCAAAATTAATAAAACGTTAATTTCATTAGAAAATGGTAACTTTTACTTCTGTTTACAAAGTTGTATAACATGTAGTGTTTGGGCTAAAAACGAATTCAGACATTATAGCGCCATTCTTGGGGGTGTTCAGCGGTTCCAAGAGCAATTTTATCTAATTCCGTAAAGCCGTGATGGCTTTATAGACAAAAATAATTTTCAGAATGGCAATATGGGGTAATTTGGCCGGGACTAGCGGGGCAATTTGGCCGGTGCGCTCATGGTCACTATGCTGGGACGGCCGAGTTTTCATGGTCAATTGTACCATAAATGACATGATTCATGACCAACTTTGACTTCTTTGATGCCTTACTTCCGATTGGTCAACTGTAAGAGCATGTGACGTCATCAAAGGTTACCAAACGTTTTTTGCTAATAAATCCTTACATAAAAATGGTACAGCCGCACAAATGGTCTCATTCTGTTCATCTCGCCAAGGCGCATCGAATGATATGCATGATGACCTTGAAATCACGTGACCTTGAGGTCAAGCGACCTGATGCAACATGACCTGAGGTCAACCTTTGACCTTGACTTCACAAGGTCAACACATATATCTTTCGATGCGGACTGACGAGAGAATTACGATGGTACTCGAAGTTTTGGCCTAGCTTGATTACTTCAAAAGTTATTCGTAAAAAACTGTGATCGCATCTAGAGCCGCTAATTTGGCTATTTTGACTCCTGTGACCCCTGAGCCAACTTCCAAAATGTGGCAAATGCGTCATAGGACACACGTCATTGCTGAATCTGAAGCTGACTCGCAATATAACAGAAAATCTCGACCGCAAACTAACACCGGCCAAATTGCCCCACACCCCCGGCCAAATAACCCTGCTGAGTGGGGCAATTTGGCCGCCTTGCAGACCTTTGTAATACGTCACAATTTCAATATAAGTAATTACTCTATCATTTCAAGTTCACTGTCCAGTAAAGTAAAATGAATGCGACACCTGCCAACGTTGAGAAAATGCAGAAATGTGTCGTCAATTTTAAGTTATATCGTTTTCTAAAAAAAGCGGCCAAATTACCCCACTCTCCCCTACGCCAGGTCTAAGCCAAAGGATTCAGGGGAGAGCTGAAGAAAACACCTGGTCAACTACGGCGAATAATGGTGCTGAAAAATGGAAAGTATGGGTCAATGCAAGCCTTCATGACTATAAACAACTTTTCTGAGGACGCGAAGGCCAGCATTGAATAACGATATCCGGATCGAAATTAGCAATGATTTCTAATTACATGCCGAACTAATAGCGCTGCAAAACCCTCCTAGTAAATTGTCAAGTCGGATTATACCCACTTGAATTAAACTATCCTAATTAAAATTGTTAATTAACTTTTTAACCGAGGTCATCAAAGGTCAATGACCTGACCTGACTTTCCGGTGACCTTGACACCCACCCTAATGCATGGAAGCAACATCACATCCCATGTTTGAACGCTTAAAACCACGAAAAGACTGCAAACGCGCCGCTAATGCGAGCCGACATACGCCGAATCGCGATTCCGGCCAAATATGGTCTCGAAAAGTAGGTCACAGGTCAAAGGTCATTAAGGTCAGGGTCATGACAATTTCAAGGTGGGTGTAAAATTGATTAACGCGAGGTACTGAAAGTTTCGTCGCGATCGGTCGCTTTTTACGCGAGTTATTCGCGAAAAACCGAGGGAGGGGGTCCGTTCGACCCCCCCCCCCTTTACGGGCGAGTGTTAAGTTGATCTCACCCGAAGAAAAAGTATACCATTCGACACGCCTGAGCTAGACAAACACGATGCTGCTAAAATCGCGGATCTGCGATCATTTTTAGCGGAGTTATTTACCAAAAAACCGAACCTGTGCCTTGGGCCACTTGACCTGACCTCCGAAGTCA